ATAACTGTTCAATCATTCATATAAACAGCAACAAATAAATGATATTCTGTCTCTCCTGGATAGATTAGATTCGTTCAACAGATAATATTTGGTTGCTTTATAACTCAGAATATTTCCTGTTCTGGAGGAGTGCTTCAATTCTCAATCAAAATGCATAATTCCAGTCCGTACAAGCAACCCAATCAAAAGAGGAACAAATCAATATGGCTGTCTCTATGACTAAGTATCAGCTTAAACAACATAAATACAGTTCAGAAAGAAACATAGAAACTCAGTAAAGGCAGAAGAAATAGAAACTATAATAAAATACAAATATTATCATCTGAAAATGGAATCGAACAGATTGACAAAATGTACAACTGAAGGAATCAACAAGGACATACTACAAATGTATACATGGAGGGATTTTCACAAGCAAGGCCTTCAAAAATGGATCTTATAGTATTGATTACGACTTTACACATGGTTCAGCCGAGGCACTCGAATATCTTGTCTCATAAAATGTTGGTACGAATACTGAATTCAAGTAGAACAATCTCCAAAAGGTGGTCATAATTTTATTCTAACTGTTGACTAGTCTTAATGCGAATTCCCAATGGAGTTGAACGATTTCAGTAGTGAGACACATATTAACAATAACAATGACTGATCTAGGTGAAGTAGCATGAGTCGATCAAAGCTTGAAATGTGGACCATTGGATTCTGTATGAACACATTATCTTGACGTTTGATATCATTTAACAATCAAATTAGCCTTAATAATTGTGTTCTCGCATACAACTGATGTTTGTGCAACAAATGATCAAATATATCTGTGTTTCGTATTTTGTAAACTTCATTCTCCTTAAGTTTATTATGATTTGCAATGTATCGTATGGTGGGACCAGAAGTTAGTATTTATTCACCTGATTAATGAATAAAAGACCCAGGAAATAGATGATCCGCTTGCATAAATTGAATTTCAGCCACAAGAAATTGTTGCGTTTAAAGTAGTAGGTTGAGTTTAAAGAGAAAAACGTTTTAACATTACGTGTCACAAGTAAACGGATTAAACTTAAACAAGGAACATTAAATTGCCTCATGATATCTGGGATAACCCGTGTTAGTTATTTCCATAACTGATTGTAGTTATGCTATAACGAACCAATCGAATTGTAGTTTAAGCGTTCATCACGTGATCTGGTCTGACGTGCCCGTAAACTATCTTTGTTGTAAATGACCTACCAATTGAAGGACATAATTATCTTATTACAATTGATGTGGCTCATAGTTTTATTTCCTTAGGACACGCTATATTGGTCGGTATGTTTGATCGTTTCACTTGGCAGCTGTAATTTCCTTATTTATTGTACTAATCTAATTGTTTTAATGTTTAGAAACAGATAAAGTTTGAAACCAAATTAGTCTTGTGTTTGACTATAGCTTTTCCACAGACTCAGTGCTCGCCAATATTGCGTTTACAGCTCTAGAAGTACATCTGTAGGACAAATTATATCCTACTAAGTTTCGACCAATATATCATCAGAAATTCATACATTGAGTACCTTTAAATGTCCACGGAGAATCATAAAACTGATCAGATCCCTGAATTGTCTCCCCACTACTCAGAAACTCATAGTGAAGACCAATTTGGAAGAAATAGCTTCCGAATGGATCCCTTGTTAGAGTTAGAATTAGCTAAAGTACGTCTGGCTCAGACAGAATGAGAAACTGAGTTAGAACGGTTACGTCAAAGGGGAAGAGAATATTGTAATCAAGTTGTGGATGATAAGGTTATGTCGTACGAGTCTACATCTGCCTCACGTACAGCAGATATTAATCCTGGAAAGGACTGGATAAGAATGATATCTAAAGCTTTAGACCTACCCAAGAGAGAAATCATAAGGTTTGATGGTAATCCCATGAACTATTGGAGTTTCATACGGAATTTCGAACACTGTTTTGATGAAAGCGTTGGATTTCGATCTAAGTTAAACTATTTAATTCAGTATTGTGTTGGTGAAGCTAAGGCTACTATTGTTCATTGTGCATTGCTTGAACCAGAAGAAGGCTATCGTAAAGCGTTAGAGCTTCCTGAGGAAACATCCGGTCAGAAACACAAAGTAGCTCATGCATTCATCGATAAGATGCTGAATATCCCTGCTATTAAGGGGACTGATCCAGATAATTTAAGAAGGCTGGCTCGTGAGATGCATGTTTGTGAACTAACGCTCACACACATGAACTATCTATCTGATCTCAATTCCACAAAAACCATCGAATGCATGTTTTTAAAACTCCCGCCATACGTACAGAGGGAATGGATTAAAGTAGCATGTCAAATTCTCAAGACGTGTAGGGAACCTTTGTTCAAGGACCTCTATGAATTTGTAAAGGAACAGACAGATATAGCTAATACTAGATACGGTCTACTTGTCAGCCGCAGCAATAATAGTGACAAAAGGGATTTCGGCGCTTTGAAAGGGAAAACTAGTGCAATTTACAACACAGCAAGGATAGTATATACGAGCACTAATGATGGCAATTCCTCCTTATATAGCTTACCCTGTCTGGAATGCTCAAGCAATCATTCTTTAGATTAATGCCAGAAGTTTAAAGACAAAAGTGTTAGAGAAAAGAAAGAATTCGTCTTTAAGCATAAGTTATGTAGTTTTTGTCTGAAGGCAAACCATTTAGCAAAAAATTGTCGATCACCGAGGTCATGTGCTGTTGAAGGGTGTGGCTGGAGACACCATACCCTGTTACATGAGAAGCGGGAAGAACGGGTAGATTCTAACAGTGATGCTTACATTAACACTCAGATTTTTACGGAGGAAGGCGTTAAATGAATACAGGTCTCGAAGGAAAACCGAGAACGGTATCTCTAAAAACCATTAGTAACGAATCGTCGTTGGTATCCAAAGAAGTCAATGTAGATTTGCATTCGATAGACTTTTCATCATCCGTTAAGATCCAGAAAGTGTTGACAGTCAAAAAACTACCGGCAGTTCACAGGACTTTGCCAACGGCGCATCAAATGTCATCCTGGTCCTATTTAAAGGACAAAAGTTTTCCGAGAGTAGAAGATGAGAATGTTAAACTGTTGATTGGGTGTAATGCACCGGTCGTACACGAGACGAAAGAGATAAGAACCGGAAAGTTGAATGAACCGTCTGCTATGAGGACTATATTGGGTTGAACACTGTTCGGCCCTTACGGGGAACCTCGTGAAAGCGACTGCGTACTTAATTATCTGTCAACTAAGAAAGAAATCCCGTCTGATATTTCAAATATTTCATCAAGCGTTGGGAATGCTGATGTGTCAAAAGATGCTCCGGTTAATTTATGGACATCAACATCTAAAAGTCAGGATTCTGCCTCATGTGTTTTTACTACATTGGCTAAAGTAGTTACAGCTTCTCAGGCAGACTGTAAGGATTCGAAAATTCTAGAAGATGCTGTCAAGGAAGTAGATGAAGATAAACGGAAAGAAGCGTTAACGTTGGCGGAAGTCTACCTAGTTACTGGTGAAGAAGGAGAAAGACCAATCATTCGACAGCACTCCCGAACTCATGTTGCCGATGCTAATAAACAGAAGTGGAATAATCTTGGAGCTGTTGATTTCCATTTAAATGATATACCCAACAACAGTGCTGAAGAGAATAACGAATCTCCCCGTAGGTCACGGATAATAGTGCGTCTAGTGTCTACACACAGACTGTTGATTAGTACTCCCACTTGGTTACAAATGCCTGCTGCTCTAGTTGACTCACGAACTTTGAGGATAGGTGCAATTAACGAGGAAGATCTTACCGAAGGAAACATTACCGTATGCAAATCCAACGAGACGAGTAAACAAACGCTGGAGATAAAGTGGAATGCCCAAACGGACGAATCATTTTTCAAAGTTCATGAGTTTCCTGGAAACCTAACCAGAAGAAATATTTTGTCGTACGTAGCATTAATCTTTGACCCTGGGGGCGGTATATGGGAACGCTTCACAAAGTTAATGAGAAGGAATTCACAACCGGGAGACTTAATGTTTGTAAACAATACTGGCTCACCGGGAATTCTGTGGCCGAAAGCTATAGTTAGACAGGTCAATTGTGGTCCAGATGGCCGAGTCAGAACATTTCGATTGAAGACAGCAATCGAAGAGATCAACCGAGATATATGCGGAACCTATGCTTACTGGAAAAGGCCGAAAGGTTTAAGGTTAATAGCAACCGATCAAAATCGAGGTTAACAGAACAAGCTACGAGTCATACGAAGAGAAATTTGAATGCTATACTTCTACCTGAAGTTTGTGCTGGTGATGTTGTTCAGAAGAACAATGAAAGCTCCATGACCAAAGCATCCATCTCAGAGACAGTAACTTCTTCACATTATACGTATGAGCTATGCAATTTAAAAATGATAGAAACAGTTTCATTCTTATTTAAGTAATCTGTTTTTTGCAGGAGCATTCTGCATGAATGAGTTCTGTAATTATGGTATATGATTAGGAAAATATCCCAATTATGTTTAAATCTTAAGCTTTTATTTAGTTCTGCTTCGTTTCTATTTACCTATCACTGGGAATACAAAAATGAATATTCTTAAAATGGATATTGTTTTTGCTAAAAACTATAACATTATTTAGAATTTATTCGTTCAGAAACTATACACGCGATAGATTTCTTGTCAGAATTCTTCACATCACAGTAACTGGTTAGACAGATTAGAAAAAAATATACTGAGAATCCTTTATCCTGCAGCTATACAATGTATATTTAAGTCATAGTGATTAAAATGTAAGACACATTGAAAGCTGATTATTATTTTGTTTGTTTATTTATAAATAGATTATATGAAACAATATAGTTTATAATCTGAGATAATTTCACTTCATCCATCCATCTCCACTAATCACACATAATTTGATTCAAGGAAGAAAAAAAATCTGTAACAAGAAAGTTTTTTTACAATACACCATAATCCTATGGAATTGATTAGAATATATATATATATATATATATATATATATATATATATATATATATATATATATATATATAGAATTTGAAAGGTGTTGATAAGACCAACCTTCAAAGTATCATTAAAAGTTATTTGCTATCAGTATTATCGATGACGATCAAGTACTTACATTGACAATTTCTTGAAATTCAATGATCAAACGATAATTTCAATAGCAATCATAATATTCTTAGTAAACTATAAATGGGATAAAAAAAGATAAACAAGTCTAAAGAGAGCAATAGAAGAAAAGATTTGAATCCAACCATTTTGTAAACATTACCAGTTGAAAAAAAGGAGATATTGAAACTATGTAGTCTATGTAGTCTTATCTGTAGATATGTAGGTTTTGTTGAATTCTTTCTCATCGTCTGGATCACATAGATAAGTTTGTGAATTGTTACTTTCATTATCTTTAGATAATCGATATGTGTTCATCACTCCAAAACCAAAATACAGTATTAAACCTTGTATAAATATGAAAACAATAAAGAAATAATTTCAGAATAAACATTATTTATGATTATGTAATCTAAATTGAATGAAGATAGTCGTCAAACATTGACAATATGGACTATTTTAAAATTGATTTTTCATTCCACAAAAGAATTTTTCATATACCCACGAAATTTGATGAAATCAGAATATGAAAATATGTCATTTATATTCTAAACGTACACTTTTTATTTTTAATCAGTTAACTAGTTTAGATTACACAAAATATTTAGTCACACTATCGACTCAAAGTTGTAATGTCATCAATGAATAACGAGAAATTTAAAGTATGTTGACAAAACAAATAATCAGTAAAAAGAAATTCGTTAGAAGAATATATAAACTGATTAGATGAGATGGCGTGTTCGGTAAAGGCGATATAAATTAAAAAGGATCCCTCGAGGTTGTATCTTTTCATTTCTGCCGCAACTTGAAATAGTCTTCCAGTCTCCCACAATGTCAGCTCCTCTTCTGGTTCTCACATCCTCCATAGTCCTTATGAACGTTTTGTTGATACAGATATGATCAATCTGGTTTTGAGTAGTGTGATCCGGTGAAATCCATGTAGCTTTGTGTATGCGTTTGTGCGGGAATATTGTGCCACCGATTACCAGTTTGTTGAAGGCACATAGGTTTGCAAATCTCTCACCGTTTTCGTTCCTTTCTCCCAGTCCATGTCGTCCCATGATGTCTTCATATCCAGTGTTGTCCATTCCAACCTTGGCATTCAGGTCTCCCATAAGAATCGTCAAATCCTTTGGTGAACATTTATCGACGATTGACTGCAGCCTTTCGTAGAATTGATCTTTAACGTCGTCATTGTAGTCATTGGTAGGTGCAAAGCATTGGATGACGTTCATTGTAATGTCCTGTTTCTTTGTTTTGAAGGATGCTTTAATGATCCTCGGCCCATGAGATTCCCATCCTATCAGTGCCTTTTGTGCATGTCTGGACAGCATCAGTGCAACTCCTTGTGTATGTGAAGCGTTTTCCTCTTCATGACCAGAGTATAACAGCAGTTCCCCTGAAGCTAGTCTCAGTTGTCCTACCTGTGTCCAATGTGTTTCACTGATGCCGAGCACCTCGAGGTTGTATCTTTTCATTTCTGCCGCAACTTGAAATAGTCTTCCAGTCTCTCACAATGTACGAACGTTCCATGTACCTAAAAAAATGGTTGCTCTGGTTGTGAGAAGAGGCATCGGCCCCGTGACTTCCGAGGGGACTCGGCTTTCATCACGAGACGTCATAATTCTTCTTCCAACTCCCAGGGCAGAGTTAAAATGGTTTGAATTATTTTTTCTGGTTAGCGTTTTTTTGGCAAGTTAGTTTTTGACGGAATGGGGTCGCCAACCCCATGTCCAACCCTCCTCCTTTATCCGGGCTTGGGACCGGCAGTAGCCCCTAAGGTTCTACTGGCGGAGTTATGAACTTATGTACATTAGTACAAAGTTCTACGTTGCAACTTACTGACTGACCGACTATCCAATTATTTCCTGGTATTATTTATAACAACAGTCAATATATACAATAGATCTATCTTATTTAATATGTTTGTTAAGCTGTATAAATTAACGGCATAGTTATGTTTTTATGTTTTTTTTGAATACTCAACATGTAGTTGTGATATAAGAAATAAATTTATTATTGTTATAATATACATTCATTGTTTATGATCATTTTTATTTTCATTGTAGGAAGTGATTGGTACTGCTATAGCTATAAATTTATTAAGTATTGGTTATATACCTTTATGGGCTGGTGTACTTATCACTATTTTGGATACTTTCACTTTTCTATTTCTTGATAAATATGGTTTACGTAAATTAGAATTCTTTTTTGGACTTTTAATAACTACTATGGCTGTGACATTTGGTTATGAGGTTAGTTAATAAATAAATATTTTTTCATTTTTATCATTTATTTTAATATTGATTCTTATGATTTTTAAATATTGTTCATTTTGCGAAAATTCTTAAATAATTGTAAAACTGTGATTGACAGTCATCTATCTCCCCCCGTGTTTTAACAAAATGAAACTTTTTTGACGGAATTCCTAATTCCTAATAATATTAATAGAGTTTGCTAGAAAAGAAAATACATTATAAACTTTGAGAAATTTATAAACTAGTTTTTCAAAAAAATCACTGACTAATATTGATTACCATAAATATAAGTTCTACTTTATGCTAGCTAAATAAAATAAAAACATCATCATCATCATTCAAACTTTTACTTGTTCACTTCATGTGTGTTTTAGTCTAATTTATTGTGTATTATAATTTATGTTTTCAAATTGGAATTTATGCAATAATCTCTGATATTTTACAAATCTACATACAAGTTTAACGGTTAGGGCGTTCGTGCACAATACCGAAGGTCCTGGCTTCGTGGATGTCGTGGATGCGCACTGCCACTGATGAGTCCCATACCAGGACGAAACGGCCGTCTTTCAGTGCTTCTTCCAGGTTTCTTCTAATGGTGGTAGTCTAACACATTGATCGATTCATGCTTTCAAAAATGTGTAACTTAACAATCTTCACAACCCCTGTAATGCAAAAAATAAAATTGTAACAGATATGGTCAATTTGGTTTTGAGTAGTGTGATCCGGTGAAATCCATGTGGCTTTGTGAATGCGTTTGTGCGGGAATATTGTGCCACCGATTACCAGTTTGTTGAAGGCACATAGGTTTGCAAATCTCTCACCGTTTTCGTTCCTTTCTCCCAGTCCATGTCGTCCCATGATGTCTTCATATCCAGTGTTGTCCATTCCAACCTTGGCATTCAGGTCTCCCATAAGAATCGTCAAATCCTTTGGTGAACATTTATCGACGATTGACTGCAGCCTTTCGTAGAATTGATCTTTATCGTCGTCATTGTAGTCATTGGTAGGTGCAAAGCATTGGATGACGTTCATTGTAATGTCCTGTTTCTTTGTTTTGAAGGATGCTTTAATGATCCTCGGCCCATGAGATTCCCATCCTATTAGCGCCTTTTGTGCATGTTTGGACAGCATCAGTGCAACTCCTTGTGTATGTGAAGCGTTTTCCTCTTCATGACCAGAGTATAACAGCAGTTCCCCTGAAGCTAGTCTCAGTTGTCCTACTTGTGTCCAATGCGTTTCACTGATGCCGAGCACCTCGAGGTTGTATCTTTTCATTTCTGCCGCAACTTGAAATAGTCTTCCAGTCTCCCACAATGTCCGAACGTTCCATGTACCTAAGTGAATGGTTGCTCTGGTTGTGAGAAGAGGCATCGGCCCCGTGACTTCCAAGGGAACTCGGCTTTCATCACGAGACGTCATAATTCTTCTTCCAACTCCCAGGGCAGAGTTAAAATGGTTTGAATTATTTTTTCTGGTTAGCGTTTTTTTTGGCAAGTTAGATTTCGACGGAATGGGGTCGCCAACCCCATGTCTAACCCTCCTCCTTTATCTGGGCTTGGGACCGGCAGTAGCCCCGAAGGTTCTACTGGCGGAGTTTTATTGTTGGTAACTCAATGGTAAAATGGTACAATATATGTTTTGTCACGGTTTCAGTTGAATCAGAACACATTTACAAACTGTTTTAGGGTTAATTTTCGTGACTTTGCATTTAGTGTTACCTAAACTGCAGAAACCACCACCTAACATATATATAAATGTACATAACATTAAAAATGCATACAACCAATAGACTTCTAGCAAAACCGTGAAAATTATTTAGATAAACAATTGTTAAAACTGATAACATTGCTTAACACAGAAACCCATCTTCAAAATAAGTTGAAGTCGTAATCCTTCTATACAAACTGCTTAGTTGTGATAAAATGATATCTGATTTAATGGAATAAACATGTAATACATTAAATTTTGAATGTTGAACATTAGTTTTAAATAGTAGAGTTACTGGCAGAAAAAAAAGCATATTGTATACTGATCAAATTTTTAAAAAATTTATTTATTATTTAGTGAATGCTAATGTACCAATCATATTAAAAATCTATTTTTCAATGTACTTTACCTTGAACTCATTATGAAAACAAGAATATTTTAAAATGTGTAAATTTATTTAAACTTCAGATACTGTTGGTTAGTTACACATGGTATATCGCTAGTGTAATGTTTAAATTTTAGTGTTATAAAACAGTAATATTGATTCTAACCCTATAACTTGTAAATAAAAAGTCAGTTTTCAATAATTGGTTCCACTTGTGTTGCAGTATTCGATTTGATGTAGAGCTTACTACTTTGGTGACCCGCAATCTGGCTCCATTGTTTATGAACATATAAATATGCTGTGAAATCTGTCCATCAGTTTCCTTATATTATAATTAGGTGAACCTCGTTTGTGCGACGGCGTTAATAAAAAGTAGACATGATAACGAAAAGCATACAATCAAAGCGAAGTGAATTGAAATGGGAAACGCAAAAGAGCCAACTTCATCCGATTAAGCATGACTAAGAATTCACAGTCAGACAAAAATAAGCCAGACATTTAATAAACAAGACAGTTGTGCACACATGAATAAAAGCAATGAACATATGAACGAATGACTGATAAGGTCAAAAGACAATTGGGCTAATTAGTTTGTCAAAAAGCTAGGACGAGCCTATTAGCTAGTCATAACAGCACTCACACTCAATAAATAAGCATATTTTCCATTTATATGCTTGACTCTTTTTAATAACAGTACTAGGTAGTAGTGTTTGTTATTTGAGTAGATCTTTCTTTAGTTAAATTTTAACTTTTTTTAAAGACTTTATTAGTTTTCATATATTCACTTTATTTTCCTCACATTTGTATATATAAAAAGACATTGTATTTATAAAACAATATACAACAAATAATTACCGATTACTATCCAAATAGTAAATCTGATCCAGGTAACCCATGAAAGTTCACTCATCAAAAATACGTTTATAGTTAATGTTGCACATGGAAAGAATGGAACGTAAGGAAGCTGTAAATAAAATATTTACTTTTATAAAACCTTGTATTAGGAGTAATTAAGATTCATCATTAAAAAGATCTCCATTTTACAAATATTTTGTTGAGATTTTGGAGAAATTTGTTTGAAAACAGTTGAACATTAATAGTGGAAATCAAGTTAGATTATTATTTTATACATACAATAATCAAGTTACTGAATAATTATACAATAAGAATATGTAAAATAATCTACAAGTCAGTTTTCTGAGAGTAACCATTCCTTCGGTTTTCCATTCTCATGCATTACTCTTAAAATCAGGCGATAAGTTATTTTAGATTGACAACTTGTTGAAGCTATAAGTTTCATTTATTAAAAGTATCCTTATATTAATAGATTCAGTGATCAAGGACGTAGATAGGTGAATGCATTTAGTGTAACCACTAAAAGTTGACTAGTAAACATGGTATTGAAATGATACAACTGTATAACTGTGATCAAAATTATTCTCATCTCCATAGTTTGAAGAGTAGTGTTTTAGGCTTGAGTGAATAAATGGATTACTGTTACTATGTCATATCAAATTTTATAAGTATACATAAAAATAAACGTTAGATATTACTCAGTTTTACATGGAAAGTACATAATTTGTACCAGTATGAGTTATCTTACAATGAATGTATATCCAGTGATTTTATGCGTAACTAGTGCACAGATAATTAGTATTATTACATGAACCTTGTCTAAACATAACTGTATTAGTATTCACTTATTATCTTTGAGAGGACTGTAACTGTTCATATGATTCATTATTAAAATGAATCGGTAATCCAATGATTGACTAGTTCTTAAAACAAATTTCAATGCTCAATATGTCCATGTATAGAGAAAAAAAATGCAAATATGTGAAAAGTATGAGTAAATTATAACGCTCATTTCTGTTTCATATTAGAAATTAAATATATACAATTTAATTGCCAATAGTGTTTTTAGTGATACTGATCTGTGAATTCAAGCGTTTTGAACTATTGACAGCATTCTTTAGTCTGAACTATAAGGATAACTCAGAGGTAAAAAAAAAAATAAAATCGACTAGGTCCTGATGATCCATGTATTCACCGTCTTTGCATAGTAGGTATCGTTCAGACAGTTTTTAATCCGAACTGTTTAATATGTTAAAATAACAACCGCTTGAAGCAAGTAATGCAACGCTAACTTTTTGATCACTGTCATCTTATAGAGTTTATTTAGTTAAGTTAATCGCATTCATGTTTAAGTTAGTCCTCTGTTACATAAAAATAATGTTAATATTACATTTTAAAATGGAATCAAAAACTTACTTGAAATAAACCTTTATAAGGTGGTCCAAATTGTTTGAAAATGCTCATCAATATTATACAAGATATCAGTAATGACAGAATTAACACTACACAAACAATTCGCCATATTGGCCATAATTCATGTTTCGCGCCTATTGTCAAACACATAATTAAAACACCATTTAATACGATATAAGCGGCCATCAGTATAATTACTGTATCACCAGGTGCACCGGAATTGAAAATTTTCAATAAAATATTAGGCATACAACGAGCATAAGGATATTTTACAAATCCTGGTTTATCAATACGTTTTTTGTAATATTCCACCTGTTTAATAGGCTTTAAAAAATATAACAGTACAATAAAAATATGATATTTTAACATGAATTATTACCCTTTTTAAGATGAATAAATGAGTTCATTTAAAAAGGTAATTTATAACTAAAAAAAGTACATTATGCATGAAAAATTAAAGATTATTAACTGTTTTACGTTTGCAACTGATAATATGATTCGGGAAAGATGTTTCTCTCTGTATGACATTTGTTAGTTGAGGCTGCCATTAATGGTCAACATATGCTGACTACTGAACATTAACAGGAACAATATTAAGGATTCTACTGATAGCTAGTATCATGATAATGTCATTGTAAATTGTTTTGGAATATTAGGCAATTCACATCATAAATTTATACTAACTGAAATAGATATTTTTGTTTTTCTTAATAAATAGCAAAAACTACCAATGTGTACTAATGCATACTCTAAAGTATATTTTGATAGTGTACATAGTAAAAAATTATTCAACATAGTATAAATATTTATATAGTCAGTATGTTACATGTAGAAAATTGCAAGTGATGTAATTATCTCTCTCTGTCCCTCTCTGATTAACATGAGAACACAACTTATTATGTTGCTCTCCCGAGCGTAGCTGTTACCTTGACATGGTGGTCGGGTTTGCCTATTGTGATGATCCAAGCTAGCTATAATGGCTGAAACATATGTTCCTGAAGGTTCTACCGTGCCAGCCAGGCAGGCCGATTGGAGAACGATGAGACTAAAAGCAGCTACTCAAAGTCTGAGGACGAAGTCGTACTGCTGACCACTGCAGAGGGATGTGACAGAAGTAAGGTGTTTCCCTCGGACAACCAGCATGTGCAGCAATGCTGCCTTCTCACAAGGAGGGAAGGGTTAGAATAGGTCGACCCTAAAAATGCCACACATCCTACCTCACGGATTTCCGTCTCCGTCGGTAAGGGTGCCCACTAAGGGCGTTCAAGAGCGGAGCTAACACTAAACAAACTCATAAAAAGGCCGTGCGTGACCGGCCTGAAGCAGTTGTGCCTTGAACTCTGCGGTCACGCACCCAGGTCTCCAAGACCAACACTAATCTGCATTCCTTCTCAGGTCCCTCAAGAAACAACCTTCCACGGTGTTGGCAGCCGGAAAGTTACAACCGCCCTTATACCCGTAACAGCACACGAGACCAAATTGGTCAAAATCAAATCCTTCCTACACCCCCTAATACCTCTCTTATCTCCATGACTAACTCATCTCACATTCATTTATCACAGTGCACAGCTAACGCAAACGATGCGAGTTCATGAAACGTCGTTCCTGATCTCCTTAAACCCCGTTCTAAACTACACGTTGGAGCATTTAATGTACGGACATTGTGCCAAATAGGGCAACAGGCATCATTAGCTAGGACTTTAGAATTTCGTGCCATCGATGTATGCTGCGTCTCGGAAACGCGCATACAGCATCCGAGTGGCATCATTCACTTGACCTCAACATTTCAAGATAAAGAAGCAACTCGATTTACCATTCGAGCCCTGATGCTGCTTCCTGGGGTCTCGTTGGTGTAGGTATAGCAATGAGTTGTAGGGCAGAACTAGCTCTCCTAGACTGGTCGGGTGAGAGCTTATGGCGAACTGCCATCGGAATTCTCTACTTCAAGTGGTGTCCATTGCGGCTGTCCACTCTCTCCATTCTTGTTTATTTTTGTCGTAGATATCCTTCTAGAGTTGACATTATCCTCTTCAGATTTTTCGGGGGTAGACCTTCTACCAGGAGAATTGCTTATTGACCTAGAATATGCCAATAACATAGTTCTATTCGGTGAAGACTCTGACAAAATACAGAGTCTTCTGACTACCCTAAGCAACAATGCAAGCATGTTCGGGATGCGGTTCTCACCCTCGAATTGCAAAATTTTGCTTCAAGATTGGGTTTCATCGGCACCTGAACTAGTAATAGGGATTAGTCGAGCGTGTCGACCACTTCATTTATCTTGGGAGTATCATCTGTGCTGAAGGCCTAGTGACTGACGAAATCTCAGCACGGATACAGAAAGCTCGATTGGCTTTTGCCAACCTGCGTCACTTATGGCATAGGCGAGATATCCGTTTACCAACCAAGGGTAGAGTGTACTGTGTAGCAGTTCGCTCCGTCCTCCTATATGGATGCGAAACATGGCCGGTAAGAGTAGAAGATATTCGTAGGTTACTAGTATTTGATCATAGATGTCTTGGAAGCATTGCTGATGTATCGTGGAACAACCGAATAAGCAATGCTGTTGTTAGAAGTCGGGTGCCAGGTAAGGATGGCAGGTCAATAGATGAAGTATTGAAACTTCATTAGTTGAGGTGATAGGATATTTGCTACGTATGCCCAACCATTGACTGCCCCGTCGATCTATATATTATAGTGTAGGAGTAAGTTGGAAGAAAGCTAGGGACGGCCAAACTAAAACGTGGAACAAATCCATGAAATGAATGACAAGTGGACCGAGTCATGTTGGTAGATGTAGGCAACGTGGTTGGGGTCCGTGAGACAATAGTAATCGATGGTTAGAGACCTTAAACAACATAGCTCAAAATCGTTTGCAATGGCGTAGGTGCATCCACTCTTTGTGTTCTCTCAAATCCTATCCTTCTGAATTGTTCATGATCTCTATCTTCCCCTTTTTAAGTTTATTTCACTAGATTCTACTTCTTGAATAATATCTTCAAACCCTGATCTCTCCTATTACTGCTAATACTTTAACTACCTCTACCACTATGTGAATTGACAATTGTGTCTCTGTGCTAATGTGGTATGGCAAAATGAACTGATGTACGTACGTACGTGCGAAGTTCTACGTTGTAACTGACTGACTGACTGATTGACCTGTCCTTGAAAATATTTACCTGAAAAAGTTTACACTGTTTGCAAACCAAAAATAGATAATTCAACTCCGAAAACAGAACTCATGTTTGTATCCTATCCAAGATGTATAAAATTTGTTTGTACACCAGCAATACTTCGGATTAATAACACATTAAAATCATAAATCAATCATTGTTATACCACCATTAGACTCCTAAGAGGTGCAGGAGTCGTGGATACTCACTGCTGATGAGTCCAATGCCAGAACGAAACGGCCTTCCAGTGGTCTAACAATGATTGATTGATGATTTCAATGTGGAACAAACACTAATCTCCATAATTCTAATTGAAAGATTAATAACAGACAAAAGAAATTAATTAATTACCTTATCCTTTTCACTGCTATCTGATTCAGTTTCACTCATCTCAAATGGATTATCAGATTGCTTTCTGTAACGTATACTAATAATAGCTATTGCAGTAATGGAATAAGCAATTAGCGTTCCTAAACTCATAAAATCAGCTAAACTATCCACACTGAAAATCAATGTTAGTAAGGCTGTTATAATTGTGACGAATGTTGTAGAAATGGCAGGTGTCTAAAATAAAAATATAAAATGAAACAAGGCAATAACTTCAATGGTATTTTGTCAATATATTTTTGAGTAAAGAAACTTTCACAGTCAGTTATATTTTTAATTTTTATAATTTTTCCGAAAATTCGGTTTACTTGTTAGATTGATATTTGTTTAAAATTTTGTAATAATATTCTTAAAACTAGATCAAAAGATTTAGTTTTACAGAAAAACGAGAAATAGTCCAAAAACCTTTATTTAAGCATCGTTGTCATGAATATGATCCAAGATATTTAGCCTCATTTTAGTCTGAATCCTATTTGACTGTATAAGTTACTGGATAAGGGAAAAAGCAAAAATGGTCATTTAAACTTTATAATAAGACTAGAAGTTATGTTCACATTACTCTAACTGTCTTCTACACTCCAAACATGATTTCATTCCATTAGGATTATCATTTACCTTGTTAAGATAGCTTTAATAGGAGTACTTAACTATCAAATATACTTGTTTATTTACAACAAACTTGCTTTTCCATCACGCAATTCTACATTAGCTGGATAGATATTCAAGGTTTGCAAAAGTTGTAAATTATTAGTTTCATTAATTTGTAAAAACGATTCTCAAACAACTCAAGACTGATGCAGTCAATTTATTGAACAGAGCAATAAGATCATTCGTCTTGAAAGTTAACTTGCTACTCAAAAAAGCTGCTTATAATATGATTTCAACTTGTGGATAAATAAATTATTTATCCGGCAATAAAACCACAAATATCTTTTCACAAATAATCTATGATTAATTGATTTTCAACGTTTATCATATGACGAAGTAGTTCAGTGAATTGAATGATCTTTTAGCCTTACACTATAACTATCTACTGATGACTGGTTTATTCATCATTAGAATCCATTGATTTCCAAGTTGTTTGATTACACGCTAATCGATTAAAAGCTATTCACTAACTGAATAATTAGAAAGAATCAGAATAGATATTTCAAGCATCAAAGATTAAAAGTTTGTTTCAATGTGAAGTAATCATCAATTTTGTAGTTCAAAATTTACAATAAGTTCATTGTTAAAATGTAAATCAAAGTGAGCAATTGTGATTGTATAAAATGTAATTTGATGTAGCTGTAGAAATGTGATACACATTTTCAGTTGCAATATTTCTAGAAATTAGTGAAAATCTTATTGAAACACTGAATGTTTTCATTGCTTATTCAAACAATAAATAAAAGAACCATTATTTTACTGCGAAAATGAACTTCGAACCCACTCTTAAATTAATAGTCAGTGTGTGGTGCACGCTACTTATAAGTAGTATATGATGCGAGTAAAAACGTTATGTCTGGCAGCAGAAGATGGGGGAAGATCAAGAAAGGAAGAGCGGGAACACAATGGGATTTGTATGAAACGTATGAACAGTGAAATGTCAGACAACTGATTGATGTTTTGCAACAGGAACAGTCCAGTCCGATATGATGGATTGATATTTTGCAAATGAACGATTTACGATATGGTTTTCCTATTTTACCAATTAACTCTGTAATTTGCGATAAATACAATTCGGTTGTCCTCACCTGTATTCTCCTCTACTACAAGTGTATTCTTTGTTATTGTCACAGTGCTTTGATTATTGAATTAGGGATTTATCTGCTAATATGTTTTATTAACTATTTTTCAACCAGTCATCCATACAGATTAGAATGTGCATAACTAAATGAAACGCTCATGAAATATTGAATGCAGGAAGCAAAATTAAAAATTATTCAGATATCTATTAGTTAACAAGATAATTAACCAGTAATCTGAAGTTTTATTAGCTTCAACTTTTCTATGTAGCTCAAAACTTTTCCAATAGCTACAATCTCTATTTGTTTCAATAGAAATAATTTAATTTAAAAATTCTGTAATATAGTTTTCCTTAAGAACTGATAAAACGAGGTGTATAGGTGAAAATGGTAAACTTCAGAGGCGATTCTTTTTGGGAGTTCAGCGTTTACGTGATTCATGTCTTCTCTTAATATTAGATTTCCATTTGATACAGTAACTATTATTATACCTTTT